CAAGCCACCTTTCAAAAAGCTTGAAGCCGGATCCGGCATTATGGCTCTGTTGAGATTTCATTATCAGACATTGTCAAATATCAAATTACTTCATTCAAAAAACTTAGAAATTAAACATTATGGCTCTGATATAACTGATATTTAGATTAATTGGTGAATTGGTGAATCAGGGCTGTAGCCTTCACATTAGACAAGTGACATCAACCGACCGGTCAACGCAACGCCATCCTGCGGGGCCCAGGCGGGGACTGCAGCTGAATAGCTTTTGCAAGATCGGCTGGACCATCCAGAAGAAACTAGGCCGGGGGTGTCTTGCGGGGAACACGTCGGGGGTACAAAAGCCATCCAAAACGGGGTCCGAAGTTTGGAAGACCGGCTGGAAGTATGAAAGCCCCAAAACATCCAAAGACATAGCCAAAAACATCCAAAAACATCCAAACAGTGACAGTTTGTTTTCTTCAAAACATATGTCGTTACACGGTGTTTGGTCTCCAGCTGTAGCCCTGTCTCAGGCAAGACCGCCTACCGGCCATATTTCCACTTCTCAGACTCGCATCTCGTCTATGTCTATGTTGACCGGAAGGATAATGGAGGATGAAGGTCAGTATCCGTATAAGATATGTGATTATATATATACTTAATATTCATGAATACGAAAAAGCACATGGAAGCAGAAAGCAACCAAAGTGCTGTGGGCTAAACGGTGAAACATGAAACCGCATTTCGGTCACACTGATTCCTGGCAATTTGGCAATCATCAAAAGAGATTAGACTCTCATGATCTCTCATGAATTTCCATGTAATACGGATTAGTGAACACTCTGAAAAAAAGATACCATCCCCTGAAGTAACATAGACCCTGCCACTATGGGCTTTATTGATATTAGTTTCCACTCAAATTTGCTCCATTTTCTGGAGGCTTACCATCTTGTAAACCACCATTTATAGATGATTTTCCGAACGCAAAAACCCATGGGGTTTTGCACATCTCAACGTTTCGCCGAGATCAACAATAAAATCCATTAAAATCCTTCCCCCTCCCCCCAAAAATACTATTAAATCCCATGAAATTCCCAGTGAATGGTGAATTTACCCTCTGGTATCAGCTTTACCGTCCTACGTAGATGTCCCAAGTTGCGGCCCAGGTTCATTCGGTCCTACCTGCCCGAGGCAGCGCGAAAACATGCAGCCAGTGTAGTGCCTTGGAACAAGTTGAGCTTTGGAGTATGTTCCAGTGATGCTGATGTATGGATAGTATATGGTGGATAATATGATTATATATACATGAATAAAATGGATAATATGGAACACTAAGGAGATAATATGAAACAATATGGAATCATCATGTTGATATGGATAATATGGAATGATTAACGTTAATGTAACGTTGATATGGTATTGATGTATGTTGATATAATAGGGACACTATGGAATATTTATGGAATATTGTGCAATGTTGATATATGTTGGTATATGCTGGTATATGCTGGTATATGTTGATTTATGTTGATTTATGTTGATATATGTTGATACATGTTGATACATGTTGATATATGTTGATATATGTCGATATATCAACAGTTCCAGTATGTTCCAGTGATCATAGATAATTCCATCATTCAGAAACTGTTGATATATGGGCTAAACATCACAACATTTATGGCAGAGTGAGGATAGAATGGGGATAAACATTGCAGATACCCTCTGGTTATTTAACGCAGCCATGGAAAATGGCCCATTTATAGATGGTTTACCTATTAAAAATGGTGATTTTCCATGGCTATGTTAGTCATAACCAGATGGTATATGTCTCAAGATGTTTTTTTTTTTCGCCAAGATGGGCTCTGCCAAGGCAGAAATTGAGCCAAGTTGAGCTCAGTTGATCCATCGATAGACAGACAGACAGATAGATAGACAGATGGATAGACAGATAGATAGATAGATATAGACAGACCTATATCTATCTATCTACAGACCTGATATAGATAAATATAGATAGACCTGATATAGATAGATATATACATATAAATATAGATACAACAGTAGAATATCCACATATCCGACATATCCACTCAGGCAGGAGACCTCTGTAGCTTTGAGGACTTCAACTTCAGCAAGGCCAGCCGGGTGGAATTTTCATCTCCAAACCCCAGGAGAATCCCAGAGATTTTCCGGTTGAAACATGGCAGTTTTTTGTCAATGGGAGTTATAAGACCAATGGGTTGGTTTACGGGAACATTTACAGGAACCCCCCTATATTTATCAATCATGGCAAGAACAGTTTGACCCATAAAATTACCAATTTTTAGCGGAAACCGAACGACGAACAAAGCCCTATCTGACAGGTTTTTTTGTGAATATACTGGAGGGTTAGCATCAAAGATGGGGGTTTATAATAAGGGACATTGGAAGGAGACATTGGAAGGATATATGAGGGAAACCCTCTGGTAAACTAACATAACTATGGAAAATCCACTATAAATGGTCATTTTCAATAGCTATGTTAAATTACCAGAGGGTATATCATTTGGCATATTATAAGCGATACCCTTCAGCAATCAGTCATGGCTTGCGGGTAAATCCCTATGGGAATATCACCGAGCTATTTCTGGATGATTTTCCAGAACCTGGTTACCAGAGGCTATCTGGCAGTTTTTTATTTGATAAACCCGGATTTTTTTGTCTGTTGCCACACATGGGAATGTATACAGACAAACCAAAATCAGGTGTTTTGCGGCGAAGATCTAAGACTGACCAGGATATATATATATATACACATGTATATATATATATATATACACATGTATATATATATATACACATGTATATATATATACATATAATAAGGATTCTGATAAACCATCCTTTAACATGAGTATACCGTAGAATGCCATATCAACAAATATATGGTAAGCTTTTTAACATCTCAGTTTTCAACCCGATCAACAACTAGAGCAGCCATTTTGCCCAGCAACACTTTGTATCTCATGAATCAGTCATGGCTCATAATTCAGGGTTGACATGTGTGTGATTTCAGTAATGTCAACCCTGGATTCATAAACCCCAAACGGCTGTTTAATTGGGAGGGTACCATAGAAGTATCAGATTACGACTATTGGAGGAGTAACCCCCCTAATTTTCATAGACCATGGTTTATTAATCCGGGGTTGACATTATGTCAGGTCTTATTGGGGGCGCTCTTTCTGTGGTTTCATCTTACAAAATCCCCAGTTTGATGCTGGAAATACATGGAAATACTGGTACATACTGGATATCACTATCATCTGGGATGGACATACTATCGAAGGATCGATAACATCAGGGGGGAACAATTGCCCCATGCAACAAACGGGGAGACTCACGTCTCTGGCTTCGTGGACCAACAAATCTGGTTGGTGGTTTGAAGATTTTTTATGACTTTCCATTGAGTTGGGAATAATACTATCTACTGTACATCCCAACTGACTTTCAGTATCTTTCAGTCCATTTGTCAGAGGGGTAGGTTGAAACCACCAGAAATGGATCAATGTTTAAACCAACATGTTGGGATGTTGGTATGGGATGGGATGGTCTGTTTTCACAGCCAAGATGACCTCTTTCGACTCTTGGTCCAAGATTCTGAAAACTTTAGTGGAAAACCCTCCCAAGAATCAAACATGACAATGGAACATCATGGAACATCAACCATTTATAGTACAGAAATATGACTTCTGAGCCATTGATGATTTCCCCATGGTAACTATCTGGGGCTCCAGCCATGTTTTGATGGGAGTTTCCGGGGATCGTCTCTGGAGGCTGGTGGGCCCCTATTTACTGTATAAAAAATATATATCCCCACTTATACTAATACATGTATTTTTATGTATTTTTAATATATATGAAATACTATCCCATTGAGTTGTATGCATGGCCACTGGGTGTCAGCTTCTCGGGTCAAAGTGGATGAATTTTCCCCTCGGTCTTATTGATCTGATCCGTGAAGTCCGATATTGGTCTGCTCCTGGGGCTGCGACGTGTCCCTGGGGCCTGGGCGCTTTTCTGATTTTACTTGCATTTCTCTTTGGCATTTGCTGCGGGGGCTGCGCTGTGGGCTGCCTCCTTTCACGTGGTTGCCAGCGAGTGGGTTTCTTGGCAGCGCGGCTTGGGGCTGCGTATCTGGGGCCGGTGCCTTCCTCTGTTCAGCAGAGGCTAGCTGAGTACCGTCGTGACCTTTGATGCAAAGTGAGACTGAGGTTCAGGAATTGACTTTTCAATTTCAGCACCTTGAGATCTCAGTTCAGGTCCGGATCCGCCCCAGAGCAGGGTCCACTGTGTCATCTACCCCTAGTGTTGAGGTAGCTGCTCGTACTTCTCCTGGTGTGGAACCTGAAGAGGTTGCGGTTGTTGAACAGGTCCCCATTTCCCGCGAGTTAGAGGAACAGGTGCTGGGAGCCTCTTTAGCTCCTGATCTTGCTGCAGTGCCTTTGCCCTTTCTGCGGTACTTGGAAGACAGATTGAGGGGAGGGGACAGTCAGTGGACACCAAGAGCAAGGCTTGCTCGCGCTTTTCGAGCTGGCGTTGCAGCTCATAGGCGTTTGATTGGTGAGTTTTGTGAGAGTTCGAGCCCAGGGATTCCTTATCGCAACAGCATCTACATCATCCTTCGTTGTCCCAACCACCCACACGGAATTTGGACTTCTGACTATTCATTGTTCATTTCAAACTGTGGAGGGAATCAATACTCAGATTTTGATCGGAATTGTGTGAGCCACGCCTTTGCCACTCGCGCAGAAGGAGACGCGTTCCTGCAAGGAGCTCGTCGTCGATGGCCTCCCGCCCTGCACCGTTGAAAGGCTCTCCCCTGACGTGGGAAGAGCTTGTTGGCTTTGTTCGCGGAGTCAACGAATCATCAGTGCTTAGTTTGTCATCAATATGGATTCCTGTGGATTCAGAAGGGCAAGAAGTCGGAAGTGTGACTGTAGGAGCATGCTTTCCAGTTTTGGTTCGGGTCCAATGGTTTCATGTTGCTGATCCCCAAGGACGACGAAGTCCGCCTTGCCATCGTGCAAGCCAGCTCAGATTGCCAGGTGGAGCCTGTTTTCTGGGATGGCACAGTTGGCATCGTGTCTTCCCGTTCCAGAGCCCTAGGGTCAGCAGAATGTCAACTAGTGGATCTAGGTTGGGAAGCAGTCGGCAGTTTCTTCAAGTCAACAGTGCTCAGAGGCAGTGCTGCTCGGAATACCAGGGTGATTCATTTCCAAGTCGATGGCCAACCTGGCCGCCCAGCTGCTGCATCAGCTCTGCAGTTAGCAGAATCCTGGCTAGGCGAGGGTTCAGGGTTGGACGAAGAGGTTGCAGCGGATTATCACACTGGAGTCGAATTCGAAGAAGCCGACGAAGGGGTTCCATCTCCTTCCCTGGCTCCGGCCGGGGATCATGGGGAAGTCAGCCAGCTGAGGGAACGTCTGAAAGCCTTAGAAGCCGAGTTAGTCCGTGCTCGACAGCCTGTAGCCCAACCGAAGCCTCCTCCTCTGCCCGGCTTGCCAGGCGGTGGGAAACATGGAGGGGAGCAGCGCCTTTTCGGGAGCCCGGCTACATCAGCAGGTCTTCGTGCCGACGAGTTGGCAAAGTTGCAGCAACTGGCCGGCAATCCTCCGGGGCGCCTTGGAGCTGCAGTTCAGCGTCAGGGGGCCAATCAACAATCTTTGTATCCCATGCTGGAGGGCCTTCATGCAGAAGCCGAGAAGGGTGTGATAGAAGATCTGGCATTGCCCGGACCGGAGTTGGATGTAGACCCCGAACTGGTTTCAGATCCGATTCAACGCATGTTGCTTTTGCAGATGAAACAAAACTCTGTGTTGATGCAGCGAATGATGGCTCCCAAAGACCCTTTCTCCTCCCTTCTAAGCGGAGGGGGCAACGAGTCAGGAAGCAGCTCAAGCAGTGCAAAGGGGTGCATGGCGAGAGACATGTATCTAAAGACTGTTCAGGACTTGCCTCGAGTGGGCGAGGTCGCCAGGCAGAATGCTCTTCAGGAATTAGGCATTTCTATGGACAAGGAGGACAAGGACCTCATGCACCAGTACATAGAGAGGCGGGTTCCTTTAGCGGAGAATCGCATGCTGGCCCACTTTGCAGTTCTTGCGGCCGAAGGATGGTCGATTGCTCATGTTGCCCAGAATCCAGTCATGAAAGGGTTCATAGCCAGAATGCTCTTTTTCATAGAACAGAGTGCCCTGGACAATTCTCGCCTAGAGTTAGGTTGGCTGATGTCGGGATTTCCCGAACCAAACGCACACCTGCATTTCTCAGTGAAACGGACGCCGGGGTTGAAACCATTCACGCGTCTGGCCTCTCCGCTGTGGGTGTCGGCGAATTTAGCCTTCCTCCGAGACTTGGACTATATAGAAGGCCGAATTCAGACTCTTGGCAAGCCAAAGGGAAAGCAGACCAATGTCAGTGCCGAGCTCGAGGACGGGCCAAAACCAAAACCAAAACCAAAGGGCAAGAAGGGCAAGAAGGGCTCCGGGAAGGACGGAGAAGCCACCGAGGGGGCGGCCAGTTGAGGGAGCTTGGGGCTGGTAGTGCCCGGAGCTTTGATGAGCGTATGAGCCAGCCCACTGCTGGTGGGCATTGCAGTGCCTTGGATCCTACTGAAGGTACATCCAAACGTTCTGACAATACCACTAAGTTTGAAACCTCTTCTAGGCCCCCTAGTTCTAATAGTCAAGATAATCCTCCCCATGATAGCCCTATTGCCGTAGGATGCCCGGATCCCGTCCCTCCGAGTTCTGATAAGTTTTTTGATCCCTTTAATCTGATGAATAATTTTAACAAGGATCTCCTTAGCTCACGCACTGCTGTTTCTCAGTTTTGTAGGAAGAGCCTTGTTTTGCATTCTGTCTCCAATGTGCAGCCCCCCTCACGGGGGCAACTATGGCCTGTCCCTCTGCCCAGGTGGAGTTGGACGGCTTGCAGACACCTCGGACCCAGGAGACGCAAGCGCAAGCGTCAGCTGCAGATCCTCCATCGTTCTGTGCAGTTGGTGTTGGCTTGTTTGAACTGGGAGACTTTGGGCCATGTGACGGAGCCACCACCCGAAGCATGTTTAGGATACCCAATTTCACGTGATCAACATTTGATCATTGAGCACGTGGAAGATCTTGTGAGGCATCATTTGTCTGTTGATGCCTTCGCAGGGGATGATTTGGGACGTTTCCAAGAAAAACACCGAGGTGTAATTCAAATGCTGCAGGAACTACCGTCCTGTGAACTGACGGGTGAGGACCTAGAGCAAACCTTAATCAAGTTGCATGATGAACTCGACCCTTACTCCAGCCATTTTGGTAGGCGGGGTCCCCACCAGAAAGAGGATTTACCCAAATCAGACCACCAATGCCATTTCGACCGCTCAGAGCCGTTACCTATGTCAGGGGCTCGACCGGTTATCTCATCGCGAATTAAGTGGCAATTCCCTCCAAAGTTCGAGGCCAGTGCTTTCCTTGATGACCCAATTGTCAAAGCTGCATTTGAGGATCCTGAGGTCATGCGTAAGCCTAAGCAATTTTGGGAGCCTTCAAAGCCGGCCAAGATCCATTGTACTCGTACGGAATTGCTTGACCTAGCACAGAGATGGGATGACCTTGGAGCGTTGAGACTTATGCCAGCGGACCAAAAACCTTGGGAAGAAGCTGTGGGCTTGTTTGCGGTGAGTAAGGATTCCCAATTCGATCGTCTTATTATAAACCCTCAAAATCTAAATGGCAGAATGTGGACCGTCAGTGAATCAACGAAGAGCCTTGCCCCAGGATGCATGTTAGGCTTGTTGCACCTAGAGCCTGGGGAAGTGTACCGTTTTTCAGCAGATGACCTGTCCGATTTCTACTATACTTTTAAGGTAAGTGAAAATCGCTCTCATAGGAATGCCTTTAGGGTGAAATTCGAGCCGCATGAGCTGAAGCACTTAAAATGTTTTACTGAGGACCTTAATAAGCATCGCCATTTGCTGCTGTGCTTATCTACCTTAGCTATGGGCGACAACCTTGCTGTGGAAATTGCCCAACAATCACATTGTAATGTGTTGAAATTTCTTTGCGGTTCAATGAAGGATGATGAGACTCTGAAATACCGGTGCCCCGTTCCTAGGAGCAGATTCATTGAACTACTTGCCATTGATGACCATGTGGGTTTGCAAAAATTGACGATTGAAGAGCTTCCAAAAGAGCCATCTCTCCGTGACACAGAAGTTTTCCAGCTTGCCACAAAAGCCTATGGATCGGTTGGACTAGTGCAACAAAGTAAGAAACAGAAACGGAATTGCACATCTGGGACGATCCTTGGTGCCGATTTTGACGGTGTAAAAGGGCGCGTTATGGCCCCTAGGAGTAGGATCCTACTTTTGTCTGCTATTTCAATGAGTCTTGTTAGAAAGGGCACTTGCACTCGTAGGTTGCTAAATTTGGTGGTAGGATGTTGGGTTCATGTTCTCCTTTTCAGGCGAGTCCTGTTTGCGATTCTTGATTCCTTGTTCACAGATGGTATCGAAAACAAAATGGACCAAGTGTTCTGTTTAAAACGCCAGTCACTTAATGAGCTGCAACTCCTAGCGGCACTTGGACCCACCGCCCAAGCGGATTTGAGAATTTCGTATTGTCATGATCTCTACTGCATGGATGCGAGTCCGTCCGGTGGAGCAGTGGTACGTGCTGAAGTTGGGGCTGCAGTCACCCGTGAAGTGTGGCGACATACAGAGCAAAAAGGGTTTTACACTCGTTTGCAGAGTCCCATTTCTCAGATACTTTCAGAGCATGGAATTGAGCCGGAAAGCATGCATATTTTCCAAGACCATATAGCCCCAAAAAGATCTCCCATTTCTATCCCTGCTAGTTTGAAAGAAGGTTTCATTTTTGACTGCATTGAGCTTTTTCGGGGTACCGGAAACTGGTCCCTGGCTCATGAGCGCAATGGCCTGCGCGTGCACGATGGGATGGATGTTGATGGCCGGCGCATTCGTGTCACTGGCATCACCTGTAATTCAATCTTCCGCGAACTGGCCGCTTTGGCCGCGAGAGGGGTTGTGAGAGATTGGCACGCAGGGGTTCCATGCCCTTCTTTTGGGACTCTTAGGAGACCCCAAGTAAGGTCAAAAGAAGAGCCATTTGGTTTTAATCCTTCTGACCCATACACCGCACACCATAATAAGATGGCGCTGAGAGCAGGAATTCTGCTGACTTTAGCCCTGAAATGTGGCTCCTTTGTCAGCGTCGAACAGCCCAGGAACAGCCGGCTTTTCCTGTTGAACGTGTATCGAACCTTGGTGCGGCTAGGATGCGTTATCACTCATTTCGCCTTCTGTTGTTTTGGGAGCGGATTCCATAAACCGTCGAAGTGGTTACATAATAAACCATGGTTAGTCCCCTTGCAGTGTTCATGTTCCTGTCCGTTTAAAGGGAATCACTTTGTAGTCCAAGGGACCTTCACAAAAGCTAGCATTGAAGAATTCGGTCAGAGATGTAGACCTGACATTCAGAGTGTATATGAAGTAGTTCCACAGCCCGGTGATCGCGTGTCCGAATTCTCGGCTGCATATCCCATCAGGTTAGTCCAGGCTATGGCCATTGGCAGCAAAGCAGCTGCTCACTCGAGCGTGAGTCCGATGCCTGTCCAAGCAGTGCAGAAGTCTGCCAGCGAAGTAGGTCTGCCCCTTGAAGAGGTGATCGCTGTGCCGTTGCCAGAGCCAGCGTACAACCCTCGCGAATGGTTTGAGGACCCTGAGTGGATTAGCGAGATCTGCGAATCATTAGCTTTTCGGGAAGTTTTCCGTTTCAACTTTGTAAAGTCGGGGCACATCAATGTCAATGAAACTCGCACCTATAAGTCCTGGATTAAACATATGGCCAAGTCATCCCGTGATTCACGTTTTGTTGGTCTTCTTGATTCCAGGGTCACCTTGGGGGCTAGTGCAAAGGGTCGATCCAGTTCATTTGCTATTAGCCGGGTTCTACAGGGTAGCATTGCTTACATCATAGGGGGTAACCTTTATCCGGGGGGTCTGCATTGCTACTCAGCATTCAATAAAGCTGATGGCCCATCCAGGGGCCGTCGTATCGAGCCTCCCACGAAGGACAAGCCAGCCTGGTTTGAGCAATTAGCGGCTGGAGATACCAGAGCTTTTGACGTAGTTGTAGACTCTTCCCGAGTTGCTCGAGTGCCTGGTCGCTGGATTCGTTTTATCCTGTTGATTCTAGCCGGAGATGTTGAACTGAATCCTGGTCCCTCTTGTTCCACTAGCAGGCGTGACTATCCACGCCCACGGGGAGCGTTAGATCTGACAGTGGGTTTCGCCCCGGAGACTGCTTCAAGAATGCAGCAGTGCGTAGAGGCCTTTGCTGAATGGGTGCGAGAGTCTTGTGATATAGCTTTTGAGAGGTTAGTGCATGACCCTCCTGCAGTGGGGTGGGCTCTTAGGGCCTATGGCATACAGCTGTTTGAGAAGGGTCTTCCAAGGTATCTTTTCGTGTATGCTATCACTGGAATGGCCGAGAAATTTCCTCAGTGCAAGCCATGTTTGACCCTAGCCTGGCAGATCGATAAGAAATGGCAGATCCATGAACCAGGCCAGTGCAGAGCAGTCCTTCCAGGAATTGCCATCCGTGCTGCGGTCTTAGTAGCTACCTTTTGGGACTGGCATTTCTGGGTTGGCTTAGTGCTGTTGGGCTTTGCAGCGATGCTCCACCCAAGTGAGATGGTTTCATTGACAAGGAAGGACCTGGTTTTTCCCAGAGATGTTTGCTTTGATATGACCTGTCTCTATGTTCACCTGCGAAATCCGAAAACTGCTCGATACGCGCGGCGTCAACATGGACGCATTGATGATGACCAGATCATACATTTGGCAGAACAAATTTTCGGCCATCTTCCTTTGCAGTCACGTTTATACAGTGGATCCATTAGTCTTTTCAGAAAGCAGTGGGATGCTGTCATGGCCCACCTAGGTATACCTCACCGCCAATGTCAGCGGGGGGCCACTCCTGGAACACTTCGTGGCAGTGGCGCTACCTTCCTTTATGGTCGCACCGAAGATGTTCCCTGGATAGCATGGAGGGGCAGATGGGCTCGTGTCAAGACCTTAGAGTACTACTTGCAGGAGGTCAGTGCTCAGTTACTTCTGCATGAACTTCCGAAGAGAAACCGGATTTTAGTGCAGACTTTGGGCGAAGCTGCGTGGCCGGTCCTATGCGAGCGCTGGTGCCTGGCAGAGCGCTATCCTGGATTTTATGGAGCTTGCAGCGCAGAACCTGAAGAGCGGAAGTGAGAAGCTGATCTTTTGAAGTAGATGCATCACCTGTGCATTAGATCCATTTTGCTGGCAATGCTGTCTTTCATAGCTGAGCAATGCTAGCATTTGCTGAATGTGCATAGGACCGGGTAGCTTGGTCGAAAGGAGACGAAAAGGGATGAAATACTATCCCATTGAGTTGTATGCATGGCCACTGGGTGTCAGCTTCTCGGGCCCACCCAGCCCGTCTTTTATTTCCCGGAAGTGAGAAGCTGATCTTTTGAAGTAGATGCATCACCTGTGCATTAGATCCATTTTGCTGGCAATGCTGTCTTTCATAGCTGAGCAATGCTAGCATTTGCTGAATGTGCATAGGACCGGGTAGCTTGGTCGAAAGGAGACGAAAAGGGATATATATATATATATGGGATTATGTTTTTTCATTTATATATATATATATATATATATTTGTGGATATCATAAATGATAAGAACAAACCACGGATTCGATAAGTGGGATGCACATCCAAAATAGTAGTTGGACCACCAACTATTCCAATATCTCGCAGGAAAGCCGGAGCCTGTGGCTCCTACTTGAGCCAGGACATTATCCCAATTCTGACTGGTTACAATTCACTACCATAGTTATAAATATTTAGAGTATAGTATACTATCTAAGTCTAAATATAAATCTAAAAAATAAAATAAATATAAACATAAATACAAGTATAAGTATAAATATGTAGATATATGAATATCAATGTATAAATGCATATATATATATATATATCAATTTTCGTGAATGTAGCTGCTTGTTGCTTAGATTTTTTTTTTTTCTATCCCAACCCCAGGACCGTTCCAACAGCGTTACTGCCAGGCTGCCTTGAAATTCTCCAAGCAGTTGACGAAGGATCAGGTTCCCGGGCTCAGGGCGCGGCAAGAAACCGAGAGATACCAAGGTATTGCAGCTGTACCATGGATCTCAATATGGGGGTTTCTTAAGTCATGGGGATCCCCAAGTCACATTGGGTTTCAATACTAACTGGTTTATCATTTGGATGATTGGGGGGTACCCCCATTTTAGGAAACCTCCATATGTGACATGTGGCCTTCCATATCCAGTAATATCTTGTGACATACATATGTTTACCTAAGATAGTGAGATGCTAGGCACACTGTAGTTGACTCTTTTGGGATGTTCTATTCAATGGATTGGTGAAAGGTGGTCAAAGCAACATCTTAACCGGAAACATCCGGAAAACCCATGTGTTTTAAACTCCAACTATAGGAATTATAGGGCTTTTTAATCGAAAACCAACAACACCAATCCATGGATTGCTGACAGGACCATCCCAGGCTGGGAAAATGCTTGGAAAACATCTCTGAAAAAGGCAGACACAGCGAATTTGTCTGAACGAATGAAGCAGAATGGTTAGAAAGAAAAAAACATTAAAAAACGCTTGGTGTACTTTATTTGTATCGGGTATCAGTCGCACGTTTACGTTCTGCATCCAAAGCTGCTACCTCCAAAGCTGTTCAGAGCTCCCTTCTTCGATGGCGTTCTGGCTTCAGAGTCACAGCCTATCCTCTCTGTGTTATCTAATTTGGGTCTGGTCCTGGTCAGAACGCTCTGTTTTTTACACCCTTCGGCAATCAGCTTCATTTAGTATATTTAGTGCGATTGTTTTCGCAGCGAACTCAACCTCCGTGGCTAGCTTGAAGACACTGGAGGGTATCCAGTGTGGGGGAATCTCGCAAAACCAGAAAAAAACAGCAACACGAGAAACATGCAGCTTGGAACAGGGTCCTATCTGCTCCTATCTGGTTGACTTTGGATTGAAAAAAATCCGGTCACCATCATGTTCCGTTCCTCACGGGGACGGATGATAACACTGACTAATGAATGACTAATGGATGACTATGACCATGCATCTATAATAGTCTATAATCCGTAACTAATATATTCACAACTGATTCATATTAGGATCGGTGAAAGCTCTCGGTTTTTCACGATAGTTTGCTTGTGTCCAGTCGAAAAATCCCGGATGTTTCATCCTTTTTTCAGACCAATCCCGGAAATCAGGTTTCGTTGAAGCGGAAAACCAAAGGCTATCCCAATTAATATCCCCATAATGAATATCCCAATTACTGGAATAGGGATGTTCCACCCAATTATGGATAGCCTGAAAAAAAAACATCTTCATATCATTTAATATCCCAATTTGAGAACAAAATCCTCGGCTAAAACCACAACGCCCAACCATGGATGACCATGGCATGGTTCAGGTCTTTACGATGTTGAGAGCCCTGGTCCAGAGGATTGGAGACAGCATTGCGGATGGCAGGTGGGGAATCTGCTTTTTCGTCCCGGAGTCGGAGTCTGAACCACCAGGAATTTCTACCCTGATTGGTAACAGGTAATTTGTTACATAGCTATTGAACATATCCCATTTATAGTTGATTTACCTATTTAAAATGGTGATTTTCTATAGTTATGTTAGTTTACCAGAGGGTATTATAACTACAGGATGGGGGCCTCCAGTTATGTGAATGTTGGTTAAGGCGCCCATCAAATTATAGTTAATAGTTAATTATATTTAATTATAAGTACCATACACTATGGTTATTATAGTTATTTGCACCAACTTAGCTAACGAACTGGGGCCCCATCGTGTAGGGACTTATACTACCTACTGGGGGCTTCTGGACTGACCCCTCGGATTGGGAAAGCGTTTTCAACCAACGAATGTATTTCATGAGATGGAAAAGCGGGGTATTTGGAATGGCTCAGATGATAAAAAAGGGATTGTCTGAAAATAGGATGCCCCTATATCCAATGGATGAAATAAGCATTTCCCAGTGAAGGCTGTATGGGTGCCCCCATTTTCATTGATCTTTCATTGATCTTTCTTTCTTTCTCTCACTGGTCGTTGTCTCCATTGATGGCGGCTTCGCTCCCAAGTATGATTGTGTATAGTCCTATTAGAGTCTGAAGATTGACCTCATACCAATGTTTACACCTGTTGTTCAGTGGTTAAACTGCCATTCTTTGTTTGCTAAATAAAACTCTTAAACTTGTTTCATACTTAAATATGGGTTTGTGTGAAATGGTGTGTCCCATTTCATTCCATGGATGCCGTCATCATGGTCCCATTTCTTATATCCAGAAATTGAGAGTATCTACAAGGTGTCCCCAAGAACAGTTTTGTAAGTCGGTCTTATCATATCATAAACTCATCTAACTATTGTAGCTATATGTTTTGGGTCTAGAAATAAAGACAACTCATGAATTATGAATATATCATATCTATCCACAATTTTAAGCCTACAAGCCTTGCTTCCTCCCAGTTATGTGGGTTGGTTTTGAACCCCCCATGAATACTAGTTTGTTCGTTGGGGGTAGTCAGCCACAGTTTTCTAGTTATATAATATATAAGAAACAATACATCAACTAGGTTTACTAGTTCGTTATATCTACCATAAGCAACTTGGAATCTAGTTCGATATCTAACCATAGTATCTATAGTCAACCATATACATATACATATGTATATATACACACAGTTGTAAAGTTTACAGCCATTTATACTATAGTAGGTACAACCTATAGTTTCCATATTCGTGTATATATATATTATATTAACTATGTTCATCTATATTGACCTATGGTTACCATATTCATTTATAGAATGGGCTAGCGCCCGGGTGCCGCCGACCCCCCCTATTTGGGGGGTCCTGCAGAGAGAGGGAGAGAGATAGATAGATGGATGGATGGATGGATGGATGGATGGATAGATAGGTAGAGAGATAGAGAGAGAGATAGACAGATAGATAGATAGACAGTTGGATAGACAGATAAGTAGATGGAGAGATAGATGGATAGATAGCTGGATGGATAGATAGATAGATGGATAGATAGAGAGGGAGAGATAGATAGAGGGGGAGAGAAAGATAGAGAGGGAGAGATAGATAGATAGAGAGGGAGAGATAGATACTCCGACGGCATCCGACGGCATCAGCGGTTCAGTGGGTCAGTGGCGCGTCGCTTCCGGCGGGCCGTGCTGAGGTCGATGGTGGTACATGGTGGGACAGACATGGACATATATGTTTTGATATGCCCCAACATGCCGCAATTCAATTTGCCACACAATGTGCAATGTGTATGCAATGAGTATGACGCTACAAATTTGAAGTCAGGCTTGAACCACCATAAAAGGACAATGCCGGGGCTGGCAAACGGCATGGGAGCTGCAGGGAAGCATTTGGGGGGCTTTGCGGGCTGGCAGACGGCAGGCTTGAACCACCATAAAAGGACAATGCCGGGGCTGGCAAACGGCATGGGAGCTGCAGGGAAGCATTTGGGGGGTTTAGGCTTGAACCACCATAAAAGGACAATGCCGGGGCTGGCAAACGGCATGGGAGCTGCAGGGAAGCATTGCGGGCTGGCAAACGGCAGGCTTGAACCACCCTAAAAGGACAATGCCGGGGCTGGCAAACGGCATGGGAGCTGCAGGGAAGCATTTGGTGGGTTTTGCGGGCGGGTAAACGGCAGGCTTGAACCACCATAAAAGGACAATGCCGGGGCTGGCAAACGGCATGGGAGCTGCAGGGAAACATTTGAGGGTTTTGCGGGCGGGCAGACGGCAGGCTTGAACCACCAGAAAAGGACAATGCTGGGGCTGGCAAACGGCAGGGGAGCTGCAGGGAAGCATTTGGGGGGTTTTGCGGGCGGGCAAACGGCGGGCTTGAACCACCATAAAAGGACAATGCCGGAGCTGGCAAACGGCAGGGGAGCTGCAGGGAAGCATTTGGGGAGTTTTGCGGGCTGGCAAACGGCAGGCTTGAACCACCATAAAAGGACAATGCCGGGGCTGGCAAACGGCATGGGAGCTGCAGGGAAGCATTTGGGGAGTTTTGCGGGCGGGCAAACGGCAGGCTTGAACCACCATAAAAGGACAATGCCGGGCTGGCAAACAGCATGGGAGCTGCAGGGAAGCATTTGGGGAGTTTTGCGGGCGGGCAAACGGCAGGCTTGAACCACCATAAAAGGACAATGCCGGGGCTGGCAAACGGCATGGGAGCTGCAGGGAAGCATTTGGGGGGTTTTGCGGGCTGGCACACGGCAGGCTTGAACCACCATAAAAAGACAATGCCGGGGCTGGCAAACGGCATGGGAGCTGCAGGGAAGCATTTGGGGGGTTTTGCGGGCTGGCAGACGGCAGGCTTGAACCACCATAAAAGGACAATGCCGGGGCTGGCAAACGGCATGGGAGCTGCAGGGAAGCATTTGGCGCGTTTTGCGGGCGGGCAAACGGCAGGCTTGAACCACCACAAAAGGACAATGCCGGGGCTGGCAAACGGCATGGGAGCTGCAGGGAAGCATTCGGGGAGTTTTGCGGGCTGGCAAACGGCAGGCTTGAACCACCATAAAAGGACAATGCCGGGGCTGGCAAACGGCATGGGAGCTGCAGGGAAGCATTTGGAGGTTTTGCGGGCTGGCAGACGGCAGGCTTGAACCACCATAAAAGGACAATGCCGGGGCTGGCAAATGGCATGGGAGCTGCAGGGAAGCATTTGAGGGTTTTGCGGGCTGGCAGACGGCAGGCTTGAACCACCATAAAAGGACAATGCCGGGGCTGGCAAACGGCATGGGAGCTGCAGGGAAGCATTTGGGGGGTTTTGCGGGCGGGCAAACGGCAGGCTTGAACCACCATAAAAAGACAATGCCGGGGCTGGCAAACGGCATGGGAGCTGCAGGGAAGCATTTGGGGGGTTTTGCGGGCTGGCAAACGGCAGGCTTGAACCACCATAAAAGGACAATGCCGGGGCTGGCAAGCGGCATGGGAGCTGCAGGGAAGCATTTGGGTTTTGCGGGCTGGCAAACGGCAGGCTTGAACCACCATAAAAGGACAATGCCGGGGCTGGCAAACGGCATGGGAGCTGCAGGGAAGCATTTGGGGGGTTTTGCGGGCTGGCAAACGGCAGGCTTGAACCACCATAAAAGGACAATGCCGGGGCTGGCAAACGGCATGGGAGCTGCAGGGAAGCATTTGGGGGGTTTTGCGGGCTGGCAAACGGCAGGCTTGAACCACCATAAAAGGACAATGCTGGGGCTGGCAAACGGCATGGGAGCTGCAGGGAAGCATTTGGGGGGTTTTGCGGGCTGGCAGACGGCAGGCTTGAACCACCATAAAAGGACAATGCCGGGGCTGGCAAAAGGCATGGGAGCTGCAGGGAAGCATTTGGGGGGTTTTGCGGGCGGGCAAACGGCAGGCTTGAACCACCATAAAAGGACAATGCCGGGGCTGGCAAACGGCATGGGAGCTGCAGGGAAGCATTTGAGGGTTTTGCGGGCTGGCAAACGGCAGGCTTGAACCACCATAAAAGGACAATGCCGGGGCTGGCAAACGGCATGGGAGCTGCAGGGAAGCATTTGGGGGGGTTTGCGGGCAGGCAAACGGCAGGCTTGAACCACCATAAAAGGACAATGCCGGGGCTGGCAAACGGCATGGGAGCTGCAGAGGAGCATTTGGGGGGTTTTGCGGGCGGGCAAACGGCAGGCTTGAACCACCATAAAAGGACAATGCCGGGGCTGGCAAACGGCATGGGAGCTGCAGGGAAGCATTTGGGGGGTTTTGCGGGCTGGCAAACGGCAGGCTTCAACCACCATAAAAGGACAATGCCGGGGCTGGCAAACGGCATGGGAGCTGCAGGGAAGCATTTGGGGGGTTTAGGCTTCAACCACCATAAAAGGACAATGCCGGAGCTGGCAAACGGCATGGGAGCTGCAGGGAAGCATTTGGGGGGTTTTGCGGGCTGGCAAACGGCAGGCTTGAATTCCCTGAAAAACAGATGGCAGGGGCATGTAGCTGTAAGAGTTGTTGCCTTGGAGGCCTGCGGAAGCGTTTGGAGGGTTTCAGGCCGGTCAAACGGCAGTCTTGAACTCCCTGAAAAACAGATGGCAGGGGCATGTAGCTGTAAGAGTTGTTGCCTTGGAGGTTTGGAGGGTTTCAGGCCGGTCAAACGGCAGGCTTGAACTCCCTGAAAAACAGATGGCAGGGGCATGTAGCTGTAAGAGTTGTTGCCTTGGAGGCCTGCGGAAGCGTTTGGGGGGTTTGAGGCCGGGCAAACGGCAGTCTTGAACCCCCTGAAAAACAGATGGCAGGGGCATGTAGGTGTAAGAGTTCGGCAGGAGCATGTAGATGGCTGGGGCATGTAGCTGGCAGAGGTGTTGCCTTGATGGCGTGCGCCTTTGCTTGCGACCCGAGAGCCAAGTTCCACACCTCCGGTGGTCCCAGGCGTTGCCCCTGCCTTGGCAAAGGCCGGGGTCGGCGGATTTTCCATAGTTATGTTAAATTACCAGAGGGTAAATGGCGAAACCAGACAGCAAGACATGGATTTTATGTGTTTTTTCAGTAACAATCCATGGTGAGTTTTGAAGAATTGCTTACATGGAGATTTACCATCCATAAATAGTTTTTTTTTGTCAACATTTATCATGCAGTAAGTCCAAAGCTAAACACATTGGTTGTGATACATATCCAAATATGAGCACCAAAAATGAGGACTCAACCAGATATGGAAACCACCACTGCTGGACAGCAATCACCAATTTGATCAAATTAACAAATTGACAACTTAGTAAGACCAATCCAAAACATTTTCTTGGTAGTTTATTGTTTCATCTGTCCCTGTATTTTCATTGTCGTTACTTGTACATTCATACTGGTTACATTACATGGAATGATAGTTGATTGTCGGGCTTACCACATGACTGGGAAAACTTTGGTTGATAGGGAAAATGATATAAAATGGACACTAAACTAAACCATATCGATAGACCCTTTCTGGAGGGATTTCATATGCTTACTGTTGAACGAGGATGGCATCACACACACACACAAACACACCCCAAAAATACGAGGATTCTGATAGGAAGCAACTTGGGTTTCAACTTTTCGCCCGCTGCCGAGGTGTTGTACACCGATTTCCTCATTTTGCTTCGCTTGAAAGGCAAGTGGCAGATCATTAGCATCTTGGCAGCGTGGAAGGGTCAAAGTGCGACAGGCAAGGGAGCAAGGAAAGCCTCTGAGTTTCAGAATGATGGCTCAGTATCTCCTCATCGAGATTCATCATCAGCAAATCATCCAACAACTCATCTCAAATCATGCTATTTTCCTGGTTCGCTGGATTGACTGCAAGGATCTTCGAGTGATCTCCACCCTGACACACTATTCTGACATAGTTTCTGACATATCACATATCATGTGGACATATATATATATATGGCATATATATTCTGACATTCTATCTGGCATGTACTCTGAAATTCTTCCTGGCATTCTTCTGGCATTCTATTTGGCACCTATTTTGACATTCTTTCTGGCATCATCTGGCATCTATTCTGGTACTCTCTCTGGCATCTATTCTATTCTGACATTCTGCATTCTATCTGGCAGTCTTTCTGGCATTCTATCTGACATATCTTCTGACATTCTGTCTGGAGTTCTATCTGGCATTCTCTCTGGCATGAGTTCGGGTCCAGGCGCAATCCTGGGCTGGCGATTTGGAGTTTGGGTCCAGGCACGCTGCACGCTCCACAGCATCCTGGGCTGGTGATTTGGTGTTCTGGAGGAGGAGGTGGAGGAGGAAGAAGAGAAGGAGAAGGAGTTGCACCTTTCTTAAAATCTAGAGACCCTCACCTGGCAGGTGGGGAATAACGGGGCACCAGGGTTTGGACACCAAATTTTAGGATCTGTTGACTTTCCAAGCACCGAGGCAAAGTCTTCTCGGCTGTCCCTCTGTCGCAGCTCTGGTACACGGAGCGGTTGGCAAGGGTGAGATGGGGAAAATCCATCATCCATCATGTCGGAGGCTGATGAAAATAACGGTGAGGTTGGGGTGTTTGATGTTGATCACTCATGTTCTGTTTCTACAACTCTGAAGTCTTTCAGCAGGCGGCACCGATCAGCAGACAGAGCCAACTTGTACCTCAACCAGACCCTTCAAAACATTCCAACACATTTCATCCCAAAATGATGGCTGTCCACTGCGTGGCAGGAGCCCTACGACACCTTAGCCTTCGCGGCCAGCGACCCGGTGAGGGGTGTCTTGGAATACTTTCGTGGCGGTCACCTTTCGAATCTTGCCTGCATGGGGGAAACATGAGGAGGTAATTACAGTAGTCTTGGAGATTAGAGGCAATAAAACATGATCAAACATGGGGATTTCTTAAGTCTTACCAACTGCGTCAGCTTTCGCGTGCTAACAAACAGGGTTTTGACACCAAGCAATGGTAATCGTGCCAAAAACATGGTTTGTGGCCAAAAGGAATGGCGATTGAACCAATGGTCACTGGATTAAGTGATGATTAATCCAATTTTGGACCATTTCTAGATTGAAGCAACCACAGTGGACATGCACCCGGGTCATCGCTCAGGAGGCCTGACATCTTGAGTCAGAACTTCCACGAGGCGGGCATCCAGAAACCATCACTGGTGCATTTTTGATATAGGATTTGATAGGATTTAATGGGATTATATATGGGATTTAATGAGATTTATACGGGATTTAATGGGGATTTAATTTTTGAGAGGGTTGAACGCACATGTATACTAGCCTCTTCGGGGACAAGCTCTGACTTGACAATGGACTTTTTATGTATAGGTATACCATCTACAAATGCAACATTTTCCAGTGACATGCTTAAGCACGGTTGTATACCAACTACCAAACCCAACTGCATCCTCAACAAGAACCTCTCTTGTTTCAGGTGGCGCGTCTCTGCTTCTCCAATGCAGAGGAAGAGCTGGTCTGCTGGTCCAGGAGCCGTTTTTGATGCGTTGGAAGAATCGGTCCTGGAGAAACCACCGGATGGGTAGGTAACAATGCATTGATCTTTTACTACCAATGATGATATATAATATACGCCAATCAGCTGAACATTTACTCTTGGTACGGTGTTTTTATTTGGCCAAAGGTCGATCACCTCTGCCGATTCACCGATTCACCAACCGAGCATGGCCCAACTGGCGATGTGGTTTTTTCCTCCCGAATAAATATCTGGACAGTAACATCCAAAGCTAAAATTCACTGGGACAGTTACAAGAATTTTTCCTTTCCAGGATGTTCTAGATGATGTTCCCACATCATTTCCAGACATATCTTAGGTTTCTAACTGTTTAAAACAAATATTTTTTGTTTGGTTCCTTTTTTTGGCGCCTCCACATTTCAAGTGTTCACCGGCATCGAAAGTGCCATACTTCCTTCAAAGCGGCGTTAGAGGCGTTATAAGAATGGATTGGTTTAAGGCAACATCTACAGGAAACCATTGATTTTCCCATGAATCATTGGGTTTTCAAAAAAATCCCTTACCCTCTGGTAAACTAACATAGCTATTGAAAATGACTATTTATAGTGGAATTTCCCATTGAACATGGTGATTTTCCATAGCTATGTTAGTTCACCAGAGGGTAATCCCCCGCTTCCCCTGGTTAGATGCCGCAGGAGCGACTTCGCAGAGGTGCTGCGACAGCAACCGGTGACGGCCGCGGAATCGGAGGCGCTGCGCTTCGACAAGATCTTGGGCGTGGACAAGGCAGGCCCTGACGTGGCGTTGATCAAATTGCAGCGACTTGGCGGGGGAATCATGGGGGAAATCAGGCATTTTTCGGGGGAAAATCATGGGCAATCATGGGAAATCAGCAGGTATATATATATATAATATATATATATATATAATATTACATTTCTGGCAGCTTGAAACCACCACACAGCATTATTTTTTGGAGGTATTTTCGTGGTTTAGCAACCTTCAATGTGAAGCGTTGCGTGACCCGATTCGTTTTGATGTAGCTAAGAATGAGGAATATGTACCACTTAAAACTGACGATGCCGCGGGGCGAGTGGTAGTAAACGTGTTACAATCATCGCAATGGGACCTCGGTTGGAGGTCCCATGGAAACACTCACGTTTCTTCCCAAGGATCGGGTATCCACCTCTTTTGTACACCGACTTCTTGTCCATGCTGCGGTTGCATGGCCATTGGTGGATCATTGCCAAGAGCAGCGACAGTGAAAGCTTCGAGTGAAAAAGGCGTATGGCGATGTCACCGCTGATTGCGATTTTGCCGACGAAGAATTGACTTTCACTGACTGTACGTAACTGAACCCGGACCCCAAAGGATTTCTTACACGCATAATTATATATATATAGATCTATATATTCTACAACCCTTTTGGTTGTTTTGGCTGTTTTGGGAAGTTGTGACTTGTGACTTGCCTTCCCCCATTTCTTACCCGAGATCCGCATGTCATGTTGGGGCCTCAGTGATCCACTTGTCCGCAGCTTCAGTCATCTCAGGATTGGCCTGAAAGATCAGTCAAAATGTTGAATCATTTGACATTTGATCATGGCAGGAAATCATGTCAAGGCACCATGGAAATCTTTGGAAATCACCTTCCATAAGTCCATGAGTTCATGAGTCCATGACATCATTTTTTCATCGCAAAACCCTTCAGGGCGCCTTTCAAAACAGCACTGGAACCAGGCCCCTTGTCTTTCCATTTTCCCGTTTTTCGCTGTCGTGATGCCGATGCCCGACAAGATCACCAACACCATATCAAGGAATGACTCAGAAGGCGAGCTGAGAGCACGAACAGCACCTTGATGGCAGGTGCCCATCCCGGGATCATCCAAGTTGTGCAGCAAATCACGGTCCAAAAAACAACCACCTGAGGACCTGAAAACAGATGAGTTATGATGATTTATGATGATTTGTGAGTGAATTCATCCCCCCCATGATTCATAAATCATGACCTTGAAATCTCAAACATCTTTGGGCCGCATCTTAGATTCATCACAGGTCTTGGCTTCCCTTTCTTCAAATTCCTGCGCTGAGGAGAGTGGCGTCAATGTGCTGATCCATGGGCAAGAAACCAAACAACTGGAGAAAACCTTAGATGAGTTGTCCCAACACCAGAATGCCCCAGGCCTCATGAGGATGATTTCGCCCCTTGGATGCCAGTCCGGTTGAGTTTGACATGCCAGTCTTGTCTAAAGGCGATACCAAACAAGGACCACCCGCATTACAGCTGCTCAGCAACCCCTCAGCGGTAGACAGAGACTGGTTAGCCGCTTAGCCTTCACCAAGTCACTTGGGAGGGATTCCATGGGATTCCCTGTCAGTTGCCAGCGACAGTTCACATGACCTGGACCATATGCTGAAAGTGAGGGGTGTGAACCTGGTGGAACATTCAGGAAAAGTGATGACAAGCAACCGTATGTCATTAAGACGACACTTACATGTTTACGCAGGAAGAGAAGACCAACTCACCAAGGGGGATCACCGCAGAGTTTCTACTTCAATGAAAAATCACAGCATGACGTGAGCCACTCGCCCCACATGCGCCATGGAGATCGAAGTGGACGAGGACGACGGTCCTCCGCCGGTGTCCCCGCCTCCCGTGGTGCCGCCGTCGCCCGCGCGGCGCGAGGACCGCACCGGGGAGCGGCGGCCCTCGAACTCGGTGGACGGCAGCGTTGCGTTGGGCACCCGCGGGAAACCACAGAAGGTGGTGGAGAAACCCAGCGCGGAAACCACGCGACTGTGCCGGGGAATGATATTGGGGAAGGGAGATGGGAAAAACGGGGAGAGGGTGGGGGTAGGTTCCTTTACCATCCTTTATTTGGGAGAAAAGTAGTGTATAGAACCTGAATATTGGGAAGATGTGGGGTCCCGCTGCTCCCCATCTCTCAGGTGGTATTTGCTCCAGGAGAAGAAGACCAAAGCTTTTGGTGATTGGTTGTCGCACTGGGAGGGGCAACGGGAGGTGAACATCAAGGAAACTCACCTGCAGTTCTTCACTTGGGTTTGTCCATTTTGGGAATACCGGAGTACCCCACAATGGCAACTTTTGTAATAAGGTTTAATAAGGAAATGAGCATACGCCATAGGATTTTGTTTCAGACAAACCTCGTTGTGTCACTTGAGCTATTTTCGAGGATGGGACGTAGTGGAGCTGCCTTCCTGGAATTCCTCATTTGTGCTGAGGACAAAGCCTTCGGATGGACCCCCATCCACTTCGCAGCACACAAGGGCGCCTCGCATTTCGTGAAGTTGCTGGCTGAGACTTGGACTGTGAGAATTGGATTGGAGGAACTATCCACAAGAAAGGCCTCGTTTCGTCTTGGTGAGTTGTCAATAATCCATCCATATTTTTACAATTTCATGTAAAAAGACATTGTATGACATACATTAATACATACATTTTGCAATACATTTATCGAATTGATCAAGGTCCGATCACTGAGACGTGGGTCAAAGATGAACTGATGGTTGCAGAAGCAAGATGGGCTGACGTAGCTCATTTTTCAATAGGGTTAGTCTAAATGTGGGAAAATCATCAGGGTATGAACAAACTTGCACACCCAGAATGAATGGATCCAAGTGGGAAGGTGCCCATTAAAGATCATTAAAGCACATCATAGAACAAATAGATGAAAACAATTAAACAACTAAATAAAGATAAAACTTGGGATATACCCTGTTCTGAACGTATACCTTTCCAATACATGCGATATAGCCCATATAGTTCACAATACATTGACGTGTAAGCAACATATTTTCTTGATCATATTTTGGACCATGAATCCGACCAGCTACTTGTAGTGGCAATAGCTACCCAGGATCCAAACCTCCTGCTGTAGATCATTGGAAAGCATGCAGCATACTGACGAGATCCGACCAAGTTCTATCCTTCTTATCGTCATGCCCCCCCATCATTACTGGTCATGGGGTCTAGCTCCTGTTCCCAACTCACTCCTGGGAGTCTCCGTGCCAGGAAGGCAAAGCACAATTAGACACGGCCTGTGGCGAGGGAAACACGGCCTTGATGTGCGCGGCAAGACAGAACAACGTGGCTTGGGCTGACGAACTTGGATCAGCGGAATCTTCAGCAAATGGGGCATCTGGAAAAATGCAAGGAGATGGGTGTTTTTTTGGTTGACCAATGTTGACCATGATAAGATATGATAAGTGTCACAGAATTGGGTTATCCATTCAGACCATGTGAGAAGATGTTAGAATCTCTTGCGATTCTGATGACGTCTCCAAAAGCCTGGACGAAACAGGCACGGAATTCTACGGGGTCTGAACATTGGGGATACATCAAAATAACAATGTTACTTTTAATGGGGAAATAAGATGATGAAGCATGATATTCTTGGGGTCCCTATCTTCAGACCCATGTACATCAACATGCTTCAAGAGTTCCTTAACTGGAAACCATCCCATCAACAGGCACATCAAGCCCAGTCAATTTATAATTCCTACTTGAAGTGACCCTCCAACTCAGAACTATATATATAATTATATATATATAAGTTAACCAGGCACCCTGTTTCCCAACGACCTTCCCCCCAGCAGTCCACCACGTCATGTCGTCCAAGCTCAGGTGAGCACAGTGTCTTATCTGGTGGGCAAAAAAGCCAATCTGAACGCCGTGACACGGACGAGCTTGAGATGCTTTTTTTGGATGGGGATAGCCCCTGATGTCCTCTTTTTTTGTGGAAAATGCAAAGTTCAGGCTTTGTCTTCCCAAAGATCCAACAGCTTTTTTGGGATACGAATCGGCACTTTCGGTACTGAACCCCGTGGCCGGAGACGCAACGTCCTCGTCAGTGGTTTTGATCCGTTGCTGTCCATCCCTAATGGGATGACTATGGATGACTTATTTTCCATCGCCACATTAATCACTGCCACATTGTTGATCATGTAACTCTAGAAAGTAGTAGCCTAGTGTTTCAAAAAAGATACTGTTCTATTTGATATTGGGGCTGGGTTGCTACGTGAATATGTTGTTGTTTTTTCTGCCTATCCCAGTGCCGGCTTACCAGGTGAACAACAATGGCTGGAGCGCGTTGATTTGGTGCGCCATCAATGGCTGCGAAGAGGTCGCGACGGCACTGCTGAGCGCGTCGGCCAACTATTTGACGGCGGACAACGAGGGAAGGAGCCGGGTGGGGGTGCATGCCACTGGGGTATGTCATGGGAGCCATTTGAAGAAAACCGGAGGGTCGGAAGTGGGTAACAGTTAGTACTATCATATCCCAGATATTATCTGTGGAATATCCGCAATAATGATGTGACCACTTACTGGGATGCACATTCAAGAAACGGGGTGTTTAATCGGGTAGCGGGAGGGCAACTGCAAGATTGTTGACGTTTTTGTTGGGGGGAGGATGATGCCTACGTTTTAATGGGTGTAGAAGTGAGATATCTCCCAGTCAGGAGACTTTGTGTCAAGGTTTACTCAGAGCGCCTAAGAGATTTGGGTGCAAGTGGAATATTTTTTGTGAGCGAGATGTTTTGTCATGATGTTGCTAGGAGATTGAAGGGCCAAGTGGACTGGTTGGTAGTTTGAAACATGAGTATGTCGATCGAAATTAGATACCCTTGTGACCGCAGATTTTGGATGTAATATGATGTTATACACATGTATGTATACATACATGTTACATATATATATAATATAGACTGTACACACACACACCCATATATATATATATATACACCTGTTTTTTTGGTACACCATTTTGACCCAGTGCATGTCTTTATTTACCTATCCCTCTTCAGACGATGACATGTGGTGTATTTGGGTCAGGGGGTACCATGGGTTTGACCCATGCCAAGCCCGGTAAGCATAGCTGTTATCTCGGGAACAGCGATCTTAGGATTTTTTTAAGTTCAAGAGAAATTAGATATTATACAGATATCCATACAATCTGTATAATATCTATAGATATTTCAAATCCCAAATTAGGATATCTGTATAAACTAGATTTGGGGTTTGACAGTCCCTGTGAATGGAGGGAAATCCCCCAAAAGATGCGATCGTGAACAACAATCGCAGTTAGTCTTGGTGGTCATTTGGAGCAACAACCATAGCGAGCTGATAATACCTTCAACATCTAGTTTGTATCAGCTGTTTTTGAGATGGTTTTTGTAATTTGACTGGCAAGTTGATCTACAAATCACCAGCTCTTAAAAAAGAGCTTACGATGAAGGTCATCTCCATTTGGGACGAGCCG